TGAAGAATATCAGGGTTGATTTGCTACAGAAACAAGACAGTTATCTTGGTTAAACACAGAGAGGAGTCCAACTGCTACATCAGGGAAGATTCGTTGTATAGAGGGGATTGAGATACATCCCTAAGTTGTTATAGGAGTTTCATGTCAGTGCAGTTGGAGGACATTTAGGAGCTCAGAAAACCTAGAGTCGGTTGTCAACAAAATTAGGATTCATTGCGATGTAGAGGACTAGATAGCCAAATGTGATGTGTGTCAAGCATAAGTATTTAGCCATGATGCCAACAAGGTTAGCTATAGCTCCTAGCCCTATCATAGAGGGTGTGGGAGGAAATGACAATGGATTCAATGAGAGGTTGCCACATTTAGAGGGATTTTTGGCGATATTGGTAGCAGTGGATCGTCTAAGAAAATATGTATACTCCATCTCTCTGAAGCACCCATACACCACGGTCACTATGGCTACTATTTTTATACAATAAATGGTGTGCTTGCATGGATTTCGAGTATCTATTGTGTCAGACAAAGATGAAGTGTTTCTTAGCCACTTCTGGAAGGAGTTGTTTTGTTTATAAGGAATAGCCCTATAAAAAGGTACATCCTACCACCCCAAGACAGATGGCCTCACAGAAGTGGTCAACATAAGTAAAGAGACATATTTGAGATACTTTGTATCAGATAGGCCGAAGAGTTAGGCAAGGCTGATTGCTTGAGGCGAATATTATTTTCAAATTGAAGTTATAATCCAAAATCAACTATCATTATTAAAATTTATGTAGTTTTTCTATTGTTCTATTGTTGTTTTCACTTCCAAAGCATATTAAATTTTTATTATTATTTATTATAGTAATCCTTATAATGATTAACATTAGTATATTGTTATCAAAATCTTTGTTGACCTATTTTTATATGAGGTCATCAGGACCTATCTATACTCATGCTTATAAATCTATTGGTTGACAGTCAGCTACCTATCAATCAAACTCCAAATGACCTTTGATGTTTAACAAACTCCTATGATCACTTTTCCTAGTGAATTGAACTTCACTCAACATCTTGACCCAGCCAACATAGTGTCAAATTCAAACAAATCTTTGATCCTTCACTTCAATCCTAGTCATCACAACTCAGCTGACCAGTCACATTAGTCAACTCAAGTTTAAAAGAAGTCTTCCACGGTCAACATTATATGTAAACAACAATCTCATAGCTTTAAACTCCTCACAACCATTCTATGGCATGTTCTAAACATTTCCAATATTCCCTTGAGGTAAACATGAGTGAATTTGACTTAGTCAAATCACTAAGGGTGACCAAATGCTCTTACCCATGAACACATTCATTCATACATCAACTTTATCCTCTCAAACCCTTGATAATTGCCCTTAGTGGCAAGTATGGACTCTTTGGACTCTACCTCATCAATTTGGAATCATTGACTGGTCAAACCAATCAACGTAAAGCTTAAAACCCTTCTTCATGGTCAAACTATCTGACCCGACTTGCCTAGGTAAACCAAGGCCCATTCAGCTATTCAAATGAGTTCCAGAATCTTCCTAAACTTCACCTGACCCAAGCTCAACCTGTGGTTTAGCTCAAATGAAGAGTGATCCCCTCCCCATGTGGGAATGACTCCAAGTCATTTTCACCTAAACCAGAACGCTTCTATGCTCCCTAATGGCCAGGGACAGATGGATAGCATCCATGCATTGCTTCTGAATGATCCTAGCCATCTCCTTCAGCTCCAACAATTGAATTGGGCTAAAGGACTCGATTCATTCATTCAATCCTAATTACAAAAACACTCACTCTCCAGCCGGTCTGAGATTTTGTTTTGCACTCTCAGAGATCTGTACACATTCCCCAAATAATTTCCCGGTGATTGGAGCTCACCGGCGGCAAGACTGACGGAGGACCAAGCCGAAGTAGAACTCATCATCCAGTTGTCCCCAGAGTTTAGATTCTTCTAAGAAGTCGTAGAGGACCTTTCCAAGAAGGAAAAAAGAGCCCTTCTACACCCTCTGAGATCATCTGTGCTGAGGTAAAACTCAAGCCCTAGGCGATTATTTAAGTTTTTAAATGATATCTTAAAGATCGCATCAAAAGCTTAAAAAATACCTCCCCACTGTTTATGGAGTCCTATTCTACCTCTATTCAAATTCTAGAGTTATTTGATTCATTCTATTAAGAGAATGAAAATGAATACGAGTTTAGGGTTTTCGATGTTTACGCAAGGAAGATGAAATCATGACTATCCTTTTAATTCGTTTCGTTTGGATGGTCGAGATTTTGTTATATTTGAGGCTCGATCGACTGCACGGTTTGATCAGAACCATGGGATTGATCCTAGCCGTAGATATCTTTATGTAAGCGATAGGATGGCTTAGAGCATTGTCGCGTTGGTTAAGTGGCTGACTAGCTAAGTCACTTGCCCATCGCCATCCACGTGGCACATTCCCTAGCCACCACGTGGAAAGCGCCTGCACAGTACGCTGACTGTGCATTAAAACCCTCAAAATAATTTAGAAAATTATCAAGAACTTCAAAATTTTGTAAGAAATTCATTTCTCAACCGTTTTTTAAGTTCTTAGACTCATTCTCTTCAAATTTAATCTAATTTAATTTAAAAATTAAAATAAATTTATTTGACTAATGTTTTAGTAGTTATTTCAATAATATAGAAAAATTAATTTAATTTTAAATAATTATATATAAATCATTTGGGTCTGAAATTTGACAGAGGTATTTTAGGATGTATTTCCATCTTTCCCTGATTTTTCCACAGCATTTTGATGCAATTATCATTAGTTTATGCATTTATAAAAATCAACAATTAATTAAAATTTTCTAAATATTACAATAAAATTTTGAAATAATTTTAATTTAATTAGAGAAAATAAATTTGATGATTTAATTGATTAGAATTTATTTTGATCAATCAAATTTCATGATTAAGTTGAAATAAATGAATTCAAATCGTTATGTCTAATGCTCGATTATTTTTTGAGAGCATTTGGATATTAAATCTTTGGAGGCCCTTATATAATCATTTATCTTGCATAGAGGATAGGTGTTTCATTTGAAAGCCTTAGGACTTATAAATTAATAATCTTTTGCACTTTAAATATAATTAATTAAGTTCTTTAAAACTAAACAAAAAAATTCAACATCTAAAATTCAAATAATTCAAAAGTCAAATACACATCGCTTAAACTTTAATTAAATTCCCTTTCATCCTTTAATAAATAAACCTTAAAACTATATGCAATTTAAGCAATAAATCTCTATAAGGTCTATCAACCACACAACCTCTTACATACACTTAAAATGATTTGTTAGGACAAGCAACTTTAGCTAGATTAAGCCGTTGGATTAATTTGGTTTGATTGCGAGTGTCTTTTCCTAGAGGGCACTTATGTATTGTTTGCTTACTTTCTACAAAATATACATGTCCTATTTACTTTTCTATCATGCACCGAATAGCGGAGTGAATGAATTCAGGGTCATACAATTTAATTTCATTTACTTTCCTGTATATATAACTGCTCATAATACACTTTATACCTGCATTTTATTTTATTTCATTTACATTTCTGCAAAGTAGAAAGTTCCTAGATGATGATGTATATGTGAAAAGAAATGTATATTTAAATTTCATGGATTTTGTATATAAATCAAGTTGTACCGTTTTATGAGTTGTAAAAGAATAAAAAACAACTGCTTATTATTATTATTATTATTATTATTATTATTATATATATATATATATACATACATACATACATAAAAGTGGGGCTCTAAAAAGCAATGTCCTTTTTTAGAATTCCATATTAAACATAGAGCTCGAAGATCATAAGCAGTTGTATTTGATTCTAGATGTATGTGATAAGATTAGAATCCAAGTTTATTATTGGTGGAGTCTGACCACCATTACTTTACTGCAGACTCTAGGTTATATTTTACAATTTTATAAATCAATAAAATAAGCTCTTTTATACATTGTTTCTTATACAGCATATGCATCATACGAGTAGATTTTATTTTTAGTAAGCATGTTGTATTGCATTTGATTCAAATTCTATAACAATTCCTTGATTCCTAGGATAGAGCTTCCTGATTTTACATTCATACGGTGATTATTGTGACTAGGATTATTAACTAGCAGCTCATTCTTGGCAAGTGGTAAGTCAAAATTGTATACACCCTTCTCTCTACATATTCATCCTTAATTCAAATCTAAATTTTCCAAAATCAAATTCCAGAATTTATAATCTAAGTATTGAAATGTAAGTAGCCCAAGCATTTCTTTAAACTTATATGAATTTTAAAATCATTTAGTCTTCATTTTAATCGAGAGTATTCTCTTAGGAGATGTAATTAACTATAGGAGCTTACCCATATAAGGAGTCTAGATCCCAGAATAAAATAAACACTATCTTAGTTTCTTTCTAAGGTAGGTGGAAACCCTGTGAATGCAGACTAGCCTTATTTATATTTTAAATTTAATTTCATAATCAAAAGATAGATTGATTTTTTGTTTGTTTTTATAGCGAATTAAATATCCTCTATATTTGATTATGGAAATATAATTTATTTCTCTAATTGGAACGATAGGAAAATATGTTTTTCATCCTTTTGGGATGAATTGTATATTCCCTATGTTGTATCTGATTAGAAGAATAAATTATAATTTCTTTCTTTCAAATCGATAACAAAACATTAATCTACCCTTTGGGGTGATAATGTTAAACTATGCAGATTTAATTGAAAGAATCATTAAATATATTTAAAGCAAATCTTGTGGGACAAAAGAGATAAACAACTAAAAAATATTATCCACAATCTTGCCAGCACCACATCAACAGATCAAAATTTTCAACTTTAATCAATGATGGAATCATTTAAGACAATACAGATGCCAAAGAAATGGCCTTATACAGTAATAAATCGAATGGAACTAAATCCAAGTGCAAAAGAATAACGAAAAAATAAGATATGTGTACCTCAATAACATCAGATGTAGAAAGCGCTGATCGTATGTTGCTATTTTCCTGCAAAAGATGTGACTTGGAATTAAAAAAGATCAAGAAGCAAAGCAAGTGGAAAAAAAAAGGGATGTATAGGTCAAATAATTTGAGGAACAGGAAAACCGCTGATTTTTGTTACGGAAGGTCAAACTAAAGCATTACAACAAGCTTGTAGCCATATCGGAATTCTTTAGCTGATCTCAGAACACGATATTGCTTAAATGCTGTTTTCTGAATTTCCTTCTCATCCTGTTTTGGCGACAGTAAAAATAAATGCACCGTATAAGATAACTCAAGCTAAAATAAGACAAAAAAAAAGTGAACTTGGAAGTGACAAGCCATTATGAAATTTGATGAGCAACTGTTTAAAATATTAAAGTAAACCAAACCATAGAACTCATCCTTGTTGCATTGAGAAAATATGAATTTTAATAGATTAAATTTCAAAATAGTCCCTTGATTATTTGTATATGGTCATTTTAGTCCTATAGTAAAATGTTGCTCCAATTTAGACCCTCGATTATACAAAATTGATCCAAAATGATCACTTCGGAACTAAATTGGAATCAATTTTGTAAAATTGAGGGACTAAATTGGGATCAATTTTATATCACAATTATAACATAAGAGACTATTTTAGATCAATTTTGTATAGTTGAGGTACTAAATAGAGACACGTGATACTCTAGCACTAACTTGGCCATGCATGAATCATATGGGGACTATTTTGTGATTGTTTTTAGAATTTTAATATTTGGTAATTGAGTTTCTTTTTTTTCAATAGCTCATATCCTACATGATATGTCTTTAGAAAATTCACATTGATGGTGTTGATGGAGATGTGTTTTTTTTTTTCAAGAACGGCATTAGCAACTTTGATGGTTAAAAATGTTCTCTTCTATTGTAGCGCTCTAATTTTACTAGTTCCTATCTACCCCTCATTATCACATGGAATGTTACTTGTAGGAATAAATTAAAATGCCTGACTGTATGATGTAAAACGTACAGGCAAGGATGAGTAAATTAAGGAATTTGCACGCTTAATATTTAGAGCACAATAATTATAAACTTTACGTTGATGTTGAACGACAAAAGAAAACACAAAGAGCGGTAAGACAAGCTTAGGCCGAATCACGCGCGTAAAAGTTGATCATAAAACAATCAAGTTAATCTAACATTGCGTACATGAATGGTTTTCAACGTAAATCCCTAAACTAACAATGAGATTAGGCACTATGCATGAGTCCCTCACTCAACTCTCTAGTTCTCTAAGCTTTAGCGGTGAAGAGTTTGACATGAACTTTGTGAGTCAAAATATAACCACAATTGAAAATAAACTATGAAAATAGGAAACTTGGGGAAGAGTTCACCATAGTCAAGTTCGTAGGTCTTGTTTGAGGTGCGCAGAGGAAGTTCCGAATTGTGGCGGTTGATCTTGGCGAAGTTCTGTGGGTGGGCAGCCGATGGAGTCTTCCGGGCAACAAATGGGAGTATGCCGGATGGCAAAACAGCACTAGAAGGCTGTTGGATTCTCTGGACAGCAGGAGAACAAAACTGGGACAGCAATTTCCAAGTTTGTGGGAGGGCCGGCTGACATGCCAAACGTCCAGAATTCTCTGGACAGAAAGGAGGCTGGTCTTGGGTAGATTCTGGACAGCAACGTTGCTGTTCTGAAGTTTTGGACAGCAATTAGAAGCTGTCCAGAAATCTGGACAGCCAGTTGGCTAGGAAAAATTCCAAGATTTCCTCCTTCTGGATGCACGTGAGCTGGAAGGATTTGGTGGGGAAATCCGTGGACAACAGTTGAGGGAAACAAGAGTTAATTCCCTTTGAATTAGGCCTAGGTTTGGAAAGAAAATTAATTGGAGAGGAGGAATTTAGAAAACTGAAATTAATTTCAGCTTCAAGTGGTTTTGGAGGGAGATTAATTTGAAATTTCAAATTAATTCAATAATAGCTATGGGTATTAATGGAGGAGGTAATTAGGGGCTGATTTAGTGGAGCCATTAATGTAATTTGGAGAGAGAGAGATGGCCCATTAAGGGGGGCCGGCCACATAAGGAGGAGAGAGGGGCTTGAGTTTTGAATAAGTGGGGACCACCAATTTAATTTCAGATTTTTACAAAAATCTAAAATAAATTTTCAGTTTTCTTAAGGAGAGAAAACTTCCATTCAGAAGGGCAATCAATTTAAACAATTTGAATTTCAAATTCGAAGTTGAAAATCAATTAAATTGATGGCGTAATTTAAGGAGCTAAATTAGGAAACAATTAATGGCTCATGACAATTTGAAATTTCAAAATTTGAAACTCCAAGGAAGGGGCGGCCGGCGACTAGAGGAAGGGCAAGGGGTGGGTCAAGGCGTGGGGTGGCCAGCTGGCGGGATGTGGCTACCAATTGGCCGGCGGCTTGGGCGGCTCAGAGCTAGGCGGCGACAATTGCAAGGGGAGGAAGAGAGGGAAAATTCAAGGGATTCGAGCGACTATGAATTCACTAACCTCATTTGTCTTCAATCAGGATTTCCACACAATTAACTTGGACGAACGCTAGAACTCACAAAGAGATCTAGTTGTTCCGATGAACTCACTAAGAGATCTTGGAAGAATGAACTCACAAAGAGATCAAAAGTAGAAACTTTCATTTATCAATCATCATCCCAAATACAAAACAACTAGCCTATAAATAGGCCTCATGAAAAGAAAAGAAATAAAAGACTAAAATGCCCTTCGGGCTACAATACTACATGACCACCCGTAAGGGTATAAAGGGAAAAATAATATTATGAAATAAACTAGTACATATAAATAAATAAATCAAGATCGTAGCCGTTGATCTTCGATGTCCTCATCATTGTAACTTCAGCAGACAAGAACAACATTAAATAATTAAAATATAATATAATGTCTAGCTATAATACTCTAAGAACTCAGTAACCATGGTCAGGAAAAAAAAAATCAAATATCACTACAGTTGCTTCGTAGCTATGAGAGCCATGAAAAGTATGGATAAGGTCTCCAAAATGTAAAAATAATGCTTGCTTTGCACATCTAACATTCCATTTTTTCATTAGAGAAGCTAGAAAAATAAGAAAGAAAACTTATAGTTAAGAAAATTACTTTGTAAATAACAGCAGCAAGGTTTCTGGCTATGGTATCTTTGTAAATATACTTTCCCAGAAAGTTATCTTTAGCAGCAACCATGATTTTTGCTGTAGTTCCACCAGTTATTAGGCTTAGCGGGTACCACAGATAGACCTATAAATTTACCACATTATTGAACTAATCATATGTTAAGGCCATATAGACAACCATGGCTATGACAAGACACGGCAATTAGAAGAGTATCTAAAAGACCAGCTTCAAAATAAATCGATAATCAAGAAACAGATTAATTCTGATAAGGGATGGTTAATGATTCAAAAAAAAGCTTCAGCATAATCAAGAAACAGATTAATTCTGATAAAAGGGATGTTCAATGCTTCATAAAAAAAATATAAAAAAAAACTTCATACAGAAACTAGAAAACAATAACCACGGTCCAGAGGAACAGTATGTCTTTTTTTCTGAAAAATCTGAAAGGTATCATGTCATCACTGAAGTGAATACAGCAATAATATTAAGCCTTTATCTTTCTACGTGAGTCGGCTACATGAATCCATTTCACCATTATGCTCTCTTAAGAGTCAAATTCTCATTTAAATCTAATAAAAAAAATATATAATTTCTAATATTTTCTAACTAAGTTTTTTTTTTGTCATAAGCCATATCTAATACATCTACTATTCTAACCGGGTCATTTTTTCTGAAAAATCTGAAAGTTATCATGTCATCACTGAAGTGAATACAACAATAATATTAAGCCTTTATCTTTCTACGCGAGTCAGCTACATGAATCCATTTTCACCATTATGCTCTCTTAAGAGTCAAATTCTCATTTAAATCTAATAAAAAAAATATATAATTTCTAATATTTTCTAACTGAGTTTTTTTTGGTCATAAGTCATATCTAATACATCTACTATTCTAATCGGGTCATTGGAAGGCCGACATTTTATATGACCAAACCATCTAAAACGACTCTATTTAATCTTATCTTCCACTAGAACTACTCCAACCTTTTCTCATATAACTCGTTACGCATTCTATCTTTAAGAGTAAAGCAACTCATCCACATGAGCATCCTCATCTTTGCAACAACTTCACTTAATTTTAAGATTCTTTTTTAATGGCCAACATTTTGCGCCATAAATTACTGCAGGTCTCACCACCAACTTATCAAATTTTTCCTTAAGTTTGAGGGGTACTTCTCTATCCAACTTCAATTCCACTAATAATATCCCCATCAATTTCACAATCACTTTGAACAATAAACCCAAGATATCTAAAATGTGTACTCTTCTAATGACTTGATCGCCCAAAGACACAATCCCCACACTAGATCTATTACTATTTACTACTAAAATTACATTACATGTATTCGGTTTTAGATCTACTCAAATGAAAACCATTGGACTCTAAGATTTAGCTCCATAATTCAAGTTTTCCTTTAACTCTCTCTAGTCTTATCAACAAGAACAATATCATCAACAAAAAGCATAGACCAAGGTACATCCTCTTGCAAATGTCTAATAAGAACATCCATGACTAAAGCAAAAAGATATTGGCTTAAAGCTGATCTTTGATATAATCAAACTGAAATAGAAAAATATTTGATCAAACCACCTTGTGTTTGAACATAAGTAATAGGTCAAGCATAAATATCCTTAATGACTTGAACAAAAGCATTATTAACTCCTTTATTTTCTAGAACTCTCCAAAGAACTTCTCTTTCAACTTTATCATATGCTTTCTCTAAATCAATAAATATCATATGTATATCCTCCTTATTCTCTATATACTTCTCCATCAAACCTCTCAATAAATGTATAGTTTCCATAATAGACCAACCCAACAAGAATCCAAATTGATTTTGAGAAACATTAGTACCACATTGTAACCTATGCTCAATTACTCTTCCATAATTCTAATGTATGGCTATTATAATTTGTACACTCTTGTACATCACTTTATTCATAAAAATAAGAATCAATACACGCCTTCTCAACTCAGCTGACATCTTTTTAATATTCAAAATAATATTAAAATTTTAGTAAGCTAAGAAATACTTCATCTCCTAAGCATTTCCACACCTCTATGAAAATATCATCAAGTCCAACTACTTTTCCACACTTATTTTCTCTGATGTCTTTCTAACTTCGATTTTACTAATACGACAATAAAAATAAAAATTTCTATTTTCTTTCAGCTGCTAAGGTCACTTAAGTCAATCATACTCTCACAATCTTCATTGAATAGCTTATCGAAATATCTCATCCGCCTATATTAAATATCTTCTTCTAATAAAATCACTTTTTGATCGTCATCCTTAATGCATTACACTTAAACTAGATCCTTATTTTTCGTATCTTTTTGCTTGGGTAAACTAGTTATACATCTTTTGCCCTCTTTAATATCTAATATATTATATAAATCATTAAAAACTACTCTATCATACACTCAATCACTACAGTGAATAAGAGGTCTAATTTTAATCGGTTGAATGATAAGCAATTAAAAAAAGTAGAAAACAAAACTGTTTAATCATCCCAAAAATAGCAAATTACTGATTGCAATGAGACGTTTGACAACATTAACGATTAAATAAATTCATAGAAATTAAAATTTTCTCCATTTTATTATCCCACTTTAGAACAATCCCAATTACTAAAAAAGAATTCTTGAACCTCCTCAACAATAAAGTTGAATTTCTTATCACAAAACTATCTAAACAAAAGGTCAGGAAAAAAAATAGAGTGGGTGAATATTAAATGGCTGCTTCAAGGCAGTTATCATAGATGGGAACGTTCAGTACTAAAAAAAATATGTAGATGCCAAGCTGAGGTGGAAATCTTCAATTTGTTAAAATTAAAACAAAGCCATGAAACTTATCCTGGTTTGACATATTATGGTGTTTAAAAGCCTTATTTGTAAAATTGACTCCATTAGCAAAGAGTATTCCCAAGAATATTACATACATATGCATAACTGAGAATTAATTGGTGATTAGCAGTATCTATGTGAGGTTATGCATCAAGAGAAAGAAAACGCATAGATATGGTCTATTATTCTCAGGAATCATGAACTTCCTTTCTCGGACAGCATTCAATGAGGCCTTGGGTGGCTTTAAGAGATATACAACTATGTTATTTCTCAAGCCAAAGCCATGAATCACCAAAGGCATCTACAACATGCGCTCTTGGTCATAGAATTTTGTGCTATATCGGTGATCACTTTCATTCCACATTGATATACCATCAAGGCAATTTGGATTTCATTGGAGGATGTTGAAGATTCTATTGGTGCATGTTTGAAGAAGGATTCACATGATTTAATCTTATATGTAAGATTGATTGTACGTTTCCACTTTGTTATCTGTATGTGGGTATACTTGAGATTTGAGAAAGTGCTAGTAAGTGCTTTTGATTTTGTACCCTACACTAGTAGCTTCTTGTGTTATTGGGTCAATTCTTGTATCCTCTCCAAACGTTGCATACTTAGCTGAAACAAGAACATGTAAATCTTAGTGTCTATTATGTGTTATGTTTTTCATTCTTCTCTGTATTTATTTGTAGCATTTCATTCTCAAACCTAGTGATTCTTCTGCATTTGAGTCTTTAGATGTCCTTGTTACAAGAATATCCTAGTCACATATTCACCCTATTGTAGCAAGAAGTGTGGAAAACATGAATAGAGTAGATGCAGCTGTTAACAAAGATGGATGAAGAAGGTTTCGTAAAGCTAACTCCAAATTGGGATAAGCTAAGAATGGTAAGTATCTCGATGATGATGATAAGATGTTGATCATGAAAATGAAAACAGCTCTTGATGATGGTGACAAAAATAGTGAAGCTACCTTATTCAAATAAACGAAAATAGTATATACTATCTTAGTTACAGCTTAATATATTGAAAATATTTTAGAAAAAGCATTACATTTGAATTTAAAATTGAATAAACGATGTATAAATATTCCTTTTAACTAGGACATGATTCTAAAACAATGAAAACTACTCATGCCATAACATACTCTTTGTTCATCTTCACTCACATCCTACTTCAGCCTCTAGCATACACTTTTATGTTTTAAACTTGGGAGAATGAAGTGAAGATACTAGGTTGATCATACTATATGTACAGAACAAGCATGGTATATAAAACTATCAACTGCAATATATACCCCTACAGTAAATTTAGTATAAATTTGAACGTGATCTTCATTAAGAAATGGCTCAAATATTGATGAACTTAAACATAGTAATATAATTCACATTGGTTGAGAAATCTCTAATTAAGTGCTAACGTTCACAAAAGACGTGGCGATTGGTCAAAGTTAATTCAATTGGCTAAGAGTGAGTTTAATAGGTCACAACCACTGCATAATGCAAATCAACACGAAGTACCACTTCTTTATGTTCAAGGTAATTTATGAGACAAATTATTTGGTTGTAAAACTAAAGGGTGCTTGATCCTTATGCTTCTAATTATTATAGTACCTTTCAACAATAAATACTATAAAAACATTATTATCATATAAAAAAACATTTTAAGGAAATAAAAGAGGCATCATTTGAGTTATTATTATTATTTTGCTACAAAAAAAGACATCATTCAACAACAACAACAACATCAAGTCTTTGTCCACTACGTGGGGTTGGCTACATGAATCCTTTTTCGTCATTGTGTCCTATTATAAGTCAAATTTTCATTTAAATCTAATAAAGAAAGAACATTTCTAATATTTTCTAACCAAGTCTTTTTAGGTCTATCTCTACTTTTCTTAATATAAGTCAAATATAATACCTCAACTTTCCTAACCGGGTCATCGGAAAGCCTCCATTTAATGTGACCAAACCATCTAAGGCGACTCTGTCTAATCTTATCTTCCACTGGAGCTACTCCAACCTTTTCACGTATATGCTCATTTCGTATCCTATCTCTAAGGGTTAAGCCACACATCCACCTAAGTATCCTCATCTCTGCAACACTTAACTTAGTATTATGCTTCTCTTTTAATGGCCAACATTCGGCACCATAAACCATTGCAGGTCTCACCACCATCTTATAGAATTTTCCATTAAGTTTGAGAGAGACTTTTCTATCGCACAACAAGCCTGATGCATTCCTCCACTTCAACCATCCAACTTGAATTCTATTGATAATATCCCCATCTATTTCACCATCACTACGAACAATAGATCCAAGATATCTAAAACGTGTACTCTTATTAATGACTTGATCGCCCAAAGTCGCAATCCCCTCACTAGGTCTATTGCTACTAAAATTACACTCCATATATTCAATTTTAGATATACTCAAACGAAAACCTTTAGACTCTAAGGTTGACCTCCATAATTTAAGTTTACCTTCAACTCCCTCTCTAGTCTTATCAACAAGAAGAATATTATCAGCAAAAAGCATACACCAAGGTACATCATCTTGCAAATGTCTAGTGAGAACATCCATGACTAAAGTAAAAAGATATGGGCTTAAGGTTGATCCTTGATGTAATCCAACCGAAATAGGAAAATATTTGGTCAAACACCCTTGTGTTTGAGAACAATTATTAGGTCCGATGACCGGACGTAGCTCTACGTTCAGTCAGCAATGAGATCGCGCCACGTGCTCTTACTCTTTACGGTGCAGCCCGAACCGGAACCGGAACCCAGGAATGCTATGTTCGCATATTGCTAGGTATTACTCGGTATTGCTCGATATTGTTAGGTATTTCTTGGCAATAATGACAAATACCGCTCTGTGAAGACCAATACCGAGCAATACCGAGAAATACCGAGTTTTTCTAGAAAAACTTGGTATTGCTCGATATTGCTCGGTATTACTCGGTAGTGCTCGGTATTGCTCGGTATTTATCTTTACATAATGGTATTTTTCGTTATTGCCAAGCAAAATCGACAATACCTAGCAATACCGGATTGTCATGGATTTAAAAAACGAACGTGCGAAATATCCACTATTCGCCGGGTCGGGTCCGCGGTTTTGTGCCTGCTACGTGGCGCGATCTCAGTGTCGGCCGAACGTAGCTCTACATCCATTCACCGAATCAAATAAAAGTTCTATGTTTGAACACAATTAATAGCTGCTGCATACATATCTTTAATGATTTGAATATAAGCATTATTAACTCCTTTCTTTTCAAGAACTCTCTATAGCACTTCTCTTGAAACTTTATCATATGATTTCTCTAAATCAATAAATATCATATGTAGATCCTCCTTATTCTTTCTATATTTCTCCATCAAACGTCTCAATAAATTTATGGATTCCATAGTAGACCTACCCGGCATGAATCAAAATTGATTTTGAGAAACATTAGTATCACGCCGCAACCTACGCTCCATAACGCGCTCTCATAATTTTAAAGTATGACACATTAACTTAATTCCTCTATAACTTGCATACTCTTGTGCATCACCTTAATTCTTAATAATAAAAATTAACACACTCATTTTTCACTCATCTGACATTTTTTTAGTCTTCAAAACAGTATTAAAAAATTTAGTAAGCCAAGAAATTCCTTCAACTCCTAGCTAAATACTTTCACCACAAGGTTCCATGCTAGAAGGGATAGCAACATGTAGAATCCTTCATAGGGTTGCATAGTAGCATGCCATTTTGAGCCATAGAGGACTTCGATTTCTATTTTTAGGCACTTTTACTGGTGTATGTTAGTGCACACTAGCATGACATGCGAACTACAAGGTAGTTATATTTTGAAACTAAGGCAATAGACGAAGACAAAAGTATATCCAAATTTTAACAATAGCACGACAACTCTAATCATCATAACCTCATATATAAGAAATCCAACATAACAGCATGATGACGCTAACACATGCACCTGCAATAGATCAAAACCATCTCTCTGCGCAGAGACAGAAAGGCAATAGTCATTATCTAAGAGGAAGAGTGTGACTCAAGAGAGAGAGAGAGAGAGAGAGAGAGAGAGAGAGAGATAAGAGACTCATGACAACTAAGAGAAGAAATGAACAAGAGAGGCTTTGCACGCCTGTGAGTATGAGAGGCTGAGATGATAGAGCAAGCAAAAACCCAGAAACAAAAAGGGCAAAAGAGCTAGGGCATCTAAAATTTACGAATTGCTAATTATTATAAAGCAAGGCCATGTGTTAATTACTATTGTTGGAGTAAATCTAATAGCAGGCATCCATCTATAGTTTTGCACTCCACAGACTTTTTCCTTCTACTCAACCAATTTAGAGATTTGGCAGGAAAAAAATTATGAAATATATTCAAATAATTATTAGAAAATTCTTTCGAGCCTATTCAAGATCGCATAGGGCTTCTGTTCATGTTAGGCTCATTTAAAATTCAAGCTCAAAATATATATTCTTGTTTGGCTCATTTTCTTAACCTGCCAATTGAACACAAGCTTGTCATCGAGTTGAACATGAGGTGTTCACGAATAACGAGTTTTTCTGTTGGCCCTACTTAGTTGCGACCTCCACCAACTAGTAAATTTCAGTTTTCTCTTCTCTGATTGGAATTGGTATTCTATCCATAAATTATTCGACTTAATTCGAGCAAATAAATAGATAGGAGGAATAAGAAGCGGGAAGAGGAGCAAGGGATGCAGACATTGGCGGTTCGGATGAAGATGACGAATTTTGGGTTGCCGTCGTCCTCAATCTTAGGGAGGGGGGGAGGAGGAGGACGCTGGAACTGGCGTGCGGCCATGCCGCCTCTCTTTCCCTTCGCCTCAACCGTCATAGGTTGCCTCTTCCGGAAGCCGACGCAGCTCCTCCGCAACGGCGAAGCCCATAAACGCAGGAGGCTATCTTCACCGCTTCTACCGGAAGTTGTAAGCGGAGGCACGCGAACTAGCGAGCCAACAGCCATTATTATATCTTCGTCGAGCTCGTCTCACTCCCAGCTCTCTCTCAAAGTGTTCCCTATCTCGCACGTTCGCTCGCACGCACGCACTCGTACAATTTCTCTCTGCCTTATCCGTGCGTTTGCCATTCATGTGGTATCGGAGTCGCGGCGAATGAAGAAATTATTCTATGCCCGAGCCCGGACTGCATGGGGACTGCGAGGGTGAGTGTGTATATCAGTATATGTATATATAATGTGTATATTAATTTAATATATATTGTATATAAATATTTATATAGCGTGTATACTTATATGTCTGACTTTGGTCTGTGAATAATTTCTCTGATAGTGGGTTATTATGAGGTACAGCTATATATCAAGTGTGATATATTTAATAATACTAGTTTAATATGTTCACGAACAAGCTCAATAAGCACTAAACGAATGAACATGAATTGAACATGAACCGAACATGAACACTCTTTAATTTAAATAAATCAAACATGAACACAAACAATAAAGCTCGAACAAACATGAAACAAACTTGAACAAACTGATATTAAATGAACACAAACATGAACACTCACATACTCGGCTCTGCTCGGTTCATTTGCAGCCCTACGCGCCACGTTACCCAATGCACAATGCATTAGATGACATGACACATCCGTATTAACATACGGAAGCGTTCACAAAAAATAGATAATAATGTTATATAGAAGCAACTTTATCTAGATGAATATCATTTTCATAGAGACAAGCCAAGTTTTTTGTAGTTTAAAACAAAGATAACTATGATGAATGACCAATGGCCCAATAATTAGAGAAGAAAATTGATTCTTTAAACTTATGAATGTAAACCCCATACTTTACATGTTATCCCTTAGCTTTCTCATAGCAGGAAAAAAAAAAGAAAAATGAATACACAGAAATTATCTTAGGCAAGCCATTTAGCATATCTAAGATATAAATCCGAATTAAACAAGAGCATAAAGTAGATTTAGAAGGCTTAATCATGAATGGGCAGACTTAATAGAATAGATCAACCTTAAATTTGAAGTCGCAACTAATATAATTAGTACAATAAAAAACTAACACACTACCTACCATGCTAATTAAGGCCAACCCTATATTATTGAAAATCTAATACTACTTGTATATCAAAGTAAATTACATTAAAATATTCATTAAAGTTTTTGTGCATGTAATGAGGTTCTAGTCTTTGTTTAATGATGCAAGTTAAATAATCATGATGAGAATGGGAAAAAGGTTCATACCACAAGCGTCTTCCCATGAGTTCCAATAGCTCTATCATGAAAACACCATCTTTCAACCCCTAACTTCTTAATGAATTCAAAGTTTTCCTTCACTGTAAATATATAAAAAAAATGAGTTCTAGGATATCAGTATTACTAAAAAAAAATGTTTGTTTCCCTTATTTTGACCATTTCTACTGAATTTATACCACTTTCCATGGCAATGTTTTTGTTGGAGAGAACCAAAAGGATCAGCTCTAGAAAGCGATGCTAAATCTCAGCCGATCCTAAAGTAATCAAATCCATAACAACAACAAAAAAAATAAGAAAAACAATACCAATAGAATCGAGCCATATTTGTGACTTCAAAGAAGCCAGCCTTCATTTTCTTTTCAAGAATCTCCTCATCAACATTATACCACTTATGAGAGTGGGTTCATGCTTTTAGGATCCTTAATAAAAATTTAGAATGAAGAGTAAGAGCATGATATCTACTTGATTTACTTCACTGCAGAGAAGAAAAAAGATAATCCAAATAAAGAGATGAAATCAACTTAACAAAAAGAGCAGTTCCATGTTGAAATACAAAACAAAACAATAAAAAAATGATTAAAAGAAAATCAAGACTAAGTTCATTGCAGGACAAAAAAGCAATATAAGATTCCAATAAACTAATGACCTCTTATTTTATTTTGGAAAGAATACCCTTTCCCATCCAGCCTAAGAACCATCACCCTAATTGGATAACATAAAAATAATTTTTTTTTTCTGACTAACATAAGGAATATTGATTTTTTTTGCTTTTCAACACGCTTCCTTTTCAATAGAAGGTCGAGAAGAATAACTCTCAAATGAGTGGAATTTGAAAAGGCGTGAATTTAAAAATAAAAATAGTGCTTACATCTGTTATTTTTAATCTTTGAATCAGGAAGTTAATCATGTGCATATTAGGATTCATAAAAAAGAAAGAAGCTAGCGACTTACGGAGTTACGGGTCTGAAAGATCGTTACCTTCACAGTGACCATCCAAAGCTCGTTAGTGCAAGACTGAAGAAAAATAAATAAGGAGAAGAAGCTCCTTTAACAACTATTTCAAAACTTGCCTTAACGCAAAGCCGAAGAACCAAAAAGCAAAGTCCGAGCTCTCCCATCATGGCTTCCGTTCCGACAGGGGCGACCGGGCGAAGATTCTCTTCCGATCCCACAGCAGCCAAGAGCTTTTTTATCAATTCATTAAGACCTCCCGCGAAGCTAAAAAAATATAACGGAAAGAAGAAATTAATGAGATGGTGGGGGGATTCGAAGAGGCAGTGAAAACTCATATTTATTAAAAAAAAAATTTGAAGGGACATGATTCGCTGAGGAAGAATCCCAAGCTGTTTTAATTGAAAAGGTTTTTAATTTACTGTTACTAACATTAATTTACATATAACGGAAAGAAGAAATTAATGGGATTCTTGGGGAATTCAAAGAGACCGTGAAAACTTATATTTATTAAAAAAAATTGAAGGGTCACAATTCGCTGGGAAGAATCCCAAATGGTTTTAATTTAAAAGGTTTTTAATTTAGTGTTATGGACATTAATTTACATATTATTATACATTTTAAATATATTTGGCGTGAAACAGAATACCAGCAGTTTTTGAATAAAACGTCCGAGAGAAGTAGGGTTATTAATTAAGAAGTATTAGTTTTCGGATTAATAGCAGTTTTTCAATTGAAAGCAACTTTAATAATTTCAGAAATTGTTTAATTAATTATTTGAAAAGCTAACTGCTTAATAAATTATTTCAAAAGGAGTTTAAAAAATCGTAAGTAATTGGTTTGAGTAGGATTATTAATCAAGCTGTATTATTGTGTTATTAATTGCTAAAAGTTAATTACATATTTTCAAAATTATTATATATTTATAATATAATAAATGGCTAGGATAATTTGTGAAGAAATAAAATGAAAGAACAAGATTTGCTAGGGGTGGAAACTCAAGCCGCTTTTATAACAGTAGTATAGATTTTAATTATTTAAAATTGAGAAATTTAACTTTATACATAAAAAAAGAAAAAAAAAAGATTAAAAATAATTTTTTTCTGTTTTATTGAAAATATATATTTAAAATCATTATGGACTAAAACAATATTCATATTCTTATAGGAAGAAAGACATTCTATCTTTTCACATTTTTTTTTTACTTCTTGGTTTTCTCTATAACTATTGTTGACATATTTTTATTTAAGATTTCTTCACTCAGTAGTATAATATGAACAAGCCAACAAATTTAATAGATATGAGTATTTTAAGAATATTTCAATGATGTATCACAAAGTGTCATTTTGATGGAGTTCTAATATATAGCTAGATAGAAAATCAAATAATGTTTTTTCAAACATTATTAGAATGTTTGTTCAAATCATGATCAAATATATTTGAAACTTATTCAAACAATATTCTATGATCATATGGCCATGGTGGTAATGGGTAGTGACTGCGCTTGTGGGTGGTAACAACTTGTGGTTGTGGTTTGCGGCGGTTGTGTTGGCCGGTGACAACCATAATTGGGAGGTGACTAGTGATAGTGGTCGGTGGCCAGCAATGATGATGACTAATTGTGGTCAGCAGTGGCAGCAACAGTTGGTGGTTAACGACGGCGATGATTGCATACGACAGTGGGTGGTGGCGACCGATAGTGTTTGGAAACTAACAGTTAGGGTGATGGGTGGTCGGGAATGGCAATAACAACTAAGAATAGTGGTCGACAGTGGCGGCCAATGACAGATGACCTACTTTTGATTCAAATTGAATTTACAAAAAATTTTCAAACATTATCTTAGTTTAATATTGTAAGTTGTGCATTCTTTTAGATATATTTGGAGACTTTTTCACTTATCCCTGTGACTAACTCTGTAATCTATTATATATTTAATATAAATTAAATTATTATTATTAGTTAATAAAATAATATTAGATTATTAGTTATTTTAAAATTAGCTTAAATTATATTTTTACTATAGATACTCCTATTTATGTGAGGGATGCTCTAATTAACTTGAAATTTGTAGATTTTTTTTTCATGCTGAATCTTGAAAGGAGAATGTTAGAGTTTCATTCTAATTGCACTACATCTTTACAAGAACAAATCATTGGTTCAAAAACTTCAACGCACTAAATCAAGTAACTTCTCTTAAAGTTCATGAGTTTATTTTCTTTCTCTAATTTTTTTCTTTGTTGTTCTTTTATTTTTCACCTTATATATTTCCTAAAAATGTTTATTTTTGAGTGACACTACAGGAAATTCAGCTATTACCAACGATTTTTTCCGGCGGTTAACCTGGTATTACAGGCGGTTAAAAAAAAAATCGGTGGCTTTTCGTCTTTTCCCAAGCTGCCTGAAAAAATTGTGTCGGAAACCATTGCCATCAGTATTTTTCATGCGGTTTTTTTCTCCGACGGCTTTCTAGCGGCCTATACTGCCGGTTATTACCGTATTTATTACCGGCGGCATTTCGCCCGTCAAACCACCGGAAAGCTTACCGACGGCTAACCGGCGGTCCTCGCCGACGGCATTGCCAGCGGTTATAGCAACCTGCGTGCGATTGAACAACCGTCGGACAGCGTCGGCAAACCGCTGGTAAAATACCGGCTGCTACCCGGCGGTCCTCGCCGATGTAAGAACCGCCGGTATTAACCGGAGGCCAAACCGCCGGCTAAACCGCCATTATTACCAGCGGCTAGACAACCGCCGGTCTAGGCCGCCGGTAACAGCTGAATTTCCTGTAGTGTGAAATATTAGTTGAGGTTCTTAAAAAAAAAATATTTTTGAGTGAAATAATAGTTGAGATTTTTAAATAAAGTTTGATGTTTTAAATTCCACCATAGATAAAATTAGCAAGCAAATCCATTTTATTTTGACATGAA